ACAGCTACGTTCATACTCGTTAATGCGTGCCCTGCATCCAATGCTATCCGGGATTGGTTGGCTGTCCGCCGATGGGTGGGTTATTACCCGCTACTGCCGCCGCGAGTCATATGGATCAATATAATTGCTTGGCGGTTTGTTGCATTCTCGGAAGTGCTGAATGAATGACGGCACAGAAAAACAAGCTCGGAAATGTTATGGTGCGGAGTCCTAGGATGGGCTGGGAAGCTTGCAGGGGGGTTAGGAGGCTGCTGCACGGCGGTATATCTGTTCAATCCGTACCGCGTCCAGAAAGGAAGCACAGGGCTTGTACCAGTACCCAATCCCTAAGAAGTGCAACATGCACCCGAATCGCAGCATGTTTTGGACTGAGCCATCCAGTCCCCGTAAGCCCAACCTATGGATAGACCGCTGCTTGCTGTTCGTTGCACAGCATGCACGCTTACTGGCACGCAGTGTGGCTGTATAGACCTTCCTAGGGGGGGAAATGGCGCCCTCAGCTATTTTTTTCCTCGCGTTAATGGCTTGCTGGCGCCTAGACGATATGCATGCCGTACATAATGCAAATATAATGTACAACTACTCGCGAGCTGACCAGGAACTAAGTTGACGCGCCGTTGATCCGCTAGATTTGGTTGGATGCTGGTGGTGAGTTGCCAAACTCAAAGAGTACACTCTGAAGTCGGATGGGGTGCCCCTCTAGCAGGGGAGAGCAGGGAATTGCCTCGGGAAAGGAGGCCACTGGTGAAGCTTAACCACCCTGTAACAACATCAACATCAACTACTACAGTGCGTCAAGGTCTCCACGGTTCCGGTTTCCAACTTTCCGTCGCGCAACTTACAGGTTCCAGGCGCTGTCGCTACATTGCATACAGGCAGCATGTGCGTGGTAAAATATTCACATGAGCAGCACGAGCGGAAACAAAATCGTGGTGCTTACTTTACCAAAACCGACTGCTGTAGTACACATGTAGTAGATGTAGTACAGTACGGCACACACATCGTGTTACTTGAATGCTCAGCTTACAATGATATTCGTGCGGAAGAAGGATTCGATATCATCAACAGAGCATGTTGGAGGCCATGAAATGGGAGCCAGCCCGTCTGGTGAGGATGTTGAAACGTATGTAGGCTCACTGAAACTCAGTTATTCCCTTTGTGCGCTATCGGTATTTCTTTTTCTTGTGGCTTTTAGGCGTTCAGATCTTGTCCTTGGGCCTTCGGCTCGTATGGGTATTTCTACAGGTATGGGGTCACGCACCCCCAACCCTATAACACAGACACGTCGTCTATACATACGCGCTAACGCGCTCTGCCGCCAGCACCTGAAGAGAGGCTTTTCGGCGGCCAGCTAAACTACTCCACAGCAGAGGTCGCAAAAGGTGCTGGCTGCTGCATGCCATGTCGCGCTCCTAATTGTTAGGAGTGGACGGAATGCATGCCATTATATAATATCATGGCTGCCGATCCTAGGGGTCCAGGAGCACCGTGACTTCATGCGACTTAGGGTTGGCATGCATGTAAGCGAGCGAGATCCCACCATGATCTCCCGCTGCAGCTAGGAGCTATCGCAGCAGACGGCGGGCTGGCTGCTGTTGGAAGCGGGCCTGAGTGAGCCGCATTGACGGCATCTCATAGCAGCATCGAGCTGACTGGTAGGTGTAGTTGCTGGGAGCATACCATTGAGAAACGGACCGGGCAAATAAGTTATGGGATACTATCGACCGCTGAATTGCCACCCTGGTGGGGCACTTCGGCCAGAATCCGCGTAGGCATGCATTCGACAGGTATGGGAGCTTTTCGCGCGCGGGAATCCCTGGGTCCCCCGGCCTGGGGTTTTCTCTCCGTTTCCGATTCAGAAATAAGGGGTTGGTCGTGTGGAAATGCACACTACAATGGACCAGTTGGAGCACTCGTTCAGCATTGAATGAGGGTTTTCGTTTTATTATAGCAGTTGCCACCCTTCGATGCGTGCTGGCTAGTTGCCTCGCCAAGCCAGTACGGCTCGCGTAAATAAGACCCCAAACCACCCAACGTAGGTATAACAGCCGGAGAAAGCCACTGTTTTCATAAGATTTCATTTCATTTAAGTATAGGAACGCTGGCAACTTAGCGTGTTCGTGTACCAAGTGGTCCAAATGATACCATGCTGTTAGAAGTTTGGCGAACAACGACTGCCGATGCCAACAATTATTCCGCTCTCATCAGCCTAATTTTGATATGGCCGTGTAAAGTATGCTTGAATGCATACTTGAATGATACGCTAGTTCCATGCCCGACACGAACGGCTCGACGTATTAGTCTCGCCGGCGCCTGAAGCAGTGCGAGTTTACATGTATGCCCATACATCCCAATATGCAGTAACATATGAAATTATGTTCGCAATGCTGATAAGGGGACGTCTACCGTGCTAACCATGCTAGCAGGCTCATTCTACCGTACCTTCGTGGGCACCGGCGGAAGAAGCGAGGACGATGGATTCAGATCAGCAGGTGGAAGTAAAACTGGGGATGACAACCCAACGCCGCAGTCGAAAATTCCGTCTTGAGACGTCTGAAGTTGTGCGGCCGTTTGGAAACAAACTCTTCGAAATGCGGTCCTCTGCAACAATGAAGAAATACTAATCAATATATACTATTATTATTGGCGCAGCTGGGCGTGTTGCGACCATACAAAAAGGGGTTCGGAACAGGGGACCTTGAAGCAGCAAACCTACCTGACAGCTGCGAGACAGGAAATTGAACTGTTTTCCAGCAGTCGCTGTATAATGCAAGTTCATTAACGTCCATGGCAGGTGCAAGAACGCTGCAATTCCAGCATGACCTTCGAGTGCAAACTTTGGATGCAACATTCTAGTCGCTGCCTACCCCCCGTTGTGGGCAAGGTGCATGTATCCATCCTAAAGCTACTTCCATCGGATAATCGACATTTAATCGCCAAGGCATGACAGTATATCATGAACAGCATTTGCAAGCTATCCAAAGACAAATCACCCTGTGCAGAGCCCCCTTATTTACCAACTATACGGCGAATTACGTTGTTGAAATTTGATTTACTGAAATAAGTCACTCTTAGCAGCTGGCGCAGCAAAAACTTTGGTCTCGGAGCTGGTTTTTGGCACGCGCTTAGTGGCCGTGAGCCTCAGCTGATACAAAGTGCCATCAGCGCATGCAACTAAGCAGCATAGAATTAATATTGTTTAGCAGATCTTATTGCGCGGCGTATTAATCGCGATTTTTAGTTCGGATTATCTATCGCTTCGGCCCCGGGAGTGTGAACGGACGCCGACCCTAGGCTCGGGCCGGTCTGGCGTATGCGTACCTGCTTTTATCGTTACATTCGGTATTCCGTTCCATGCTTAGCGTCAGACGTCAGCGTCCCGGGGCAGAGGAGCACCCTGGGGCCAAAACAAGGGTCAACGCGTAAGCGACACTCCGAAGCAAAAACAAACTAACGAGAAACACTGCGCAGACACATTAAGCACTTTGCAAGCCTCACTTTCCAAACTCCGGATAAGCATGTCACATGCAAAGGCTTTATAACTTTAGAAACCACATCAATCGCGAAATGTGCCAATTATTCGTCTTGCTGCCGAGTTGATGATATCAGATAGCTGTCGCCTTTACTCGTGTGCCTAAGGAAATTTCAGAGCGATGGATTGGGCCATGTACGACTGGAAGCGCTCCAGACACTTGGTGCTCGCCAGTGGGTCAATAGGCTGCCTTTCATGCTGGTGGGTCCAAAAAGCAAAAGCAACCAATTTCCCCGACATAACGCACACTACTGCAGCATAGCGAAGTCGCGCACATTTTGCGACAGCGGCGTTCACTTCCGATGTAAGCTCTAAACCTAAATCTGCCCTAAACCGGAACATATCCTCTCAATCAGTCTATATGCCATGAGTACCCTGACCTCTGCTGCTTGTGCTGCGCGCATAACCCTCACTCTGGCTCTACTGATATATTTAACAACACACTGTTGGCTCAGTAGGCCTCACTATGCAGCACGAGGCTAGGGTGACGAGACTGTGCACGCCACGCCATACATACATACATACATATACGTACATGCGAACAGGCCCCATCGCAGCCCCCTCCTCTTTAGCCACACTCTACAGAGTTCACTGACGCGGCAGAATGATGAAAATCGCACCATCTCCAGCCATATACAGGATTCCCTCAAAGACACGAAGTTCCCCCGTACCTGCACTTAGCGACCCACGAAGCTCTCTGGGTGTTTCCGTCCGTTTCCAAGCACACGCAAACACACGGCATACATGCATGGCGTCCGAGTCACACAACCCTCCGACGAGCGTTGGAGGCAGATACCGAGTCAATAATTGTACCGCCATGACATCCACACCGAAAATGTTCCGCATCAAAAGTGAAAAGTTCACAACATCGCGAAGATGCCTGCAAGCACGTATCCGCGCATGCACGCAAAAAAACCTAACAGTATTGTGCCTACTCAATGCAAACCATTATCGTTTTCTCTGTTATCCTAGGAAAGCACAGCACAGCACCTCGTTCACGGACTATAACTTGACCATTCCACATAAATATATGCGTTTTATCACACGCGTGCACGCACACACGCACGCCAGCGCATGTGCTAGGGAAAGATACCTCAGGCAAGGCTTGCCTCTATACTCCTTACCGGGATATACCCTTTTTGCAAGAACATCCCTACGTTCCTCGGGACCCGCGAGCTATCCAAATCACCCTAAGAATAAACTATATTAAGAAAAACCATTCTAGCCGCAACTTCTGCAACTAACCTACTGCCCTTCGGCAGTATTTAAAACCTGGAAAACCATAACCATAGACTAGCTGTGACATGCAACAGCTCGCGCTGTGGCACACGTGCCCAAGTCGCTTGCCGGTCTCCGTGCAGCTGTACACATAAGGACGTGAAGCAAAATTTTGACAATTTCGGCCATAAAATATTGGCCGTACACTGACCGCCGCGCACTTGGCCTCCCTGCCTTGTCCAAATAACAATCACATGGGCGGCAACGTGACGCGCGCATTCATCTCCTCCAGCAGCGCCGCATCGTCCACCTCGGCCAGCTCGCAAATCGCCCTGCAAAGCCACGCCCGAAGGGTCGGGGCCGTGCAAAACAGCTTTTGGTGTAGGGGATGAACTAAAGTTCCCCTTTAGCTCCCCTTTAGTTCCCCTTTAGTTCCCATGTTATTCAGGGCTCAAGGGTTCTCCCTTCACGCCGACTCCCGGGTATTCTGGTGTCCTTGTGAGATCCCACCTACTTCAACGACCCGCGCCACATCGCACTCAGTTTCAGTAAACTGAATAAAACGGAAAGTAGGCCGGCCCTTTCCCCCTCTATTTCCTCCACAGTCGGTCCATATCCTGCGTGCTCTTCATCAACACTCTTACGTCAATTACGTCAACAAGACATCGTGCACCACGAAAACAATACGACTTTAGGACGTCGCGCGTACGGCAACAGTACTGGTGGAGCTATTCCCCCAACGCGCTGCGGACATCGACAACCGTATATTGAGACCTACATCAAGACACAAGCCCTATCCCGCCTTATAGGACAGTGCTCTAGCGCGACTAGCAGATACCTCAGGACGGCACCTTTCAGGGCATGTATATACATACCAGTAACACTCCTGGATACTCCCCGAAGCCAAGATTAAGACCCCGAGGGGAAAACACAACCCACCTGCACAGGTTGTGACCCATTGCCAGGTAGTCCCGGGCGCTGAAGTGGTTTGCTGACGTGGAAGACCCCGCTAGGCTGGCCTCCAATGTGTAGGAGCCAGCCACCCCTAGCTCTCTGTGTACCACCACACGGGCAGCGGAGAGCTTGGCCTGGAGGGGAAAGGGGGGGCCGGTTCACCATCATCTCAGTAAGGCTAGGTGCATGTGAGGAAGAGAAGAAGAGGGAGAGAGCACGGAGAGGAAGGGCGTGAGGTTTGGATAGGAGTCAGCTTAGGGAGAGGAAGAAGGGAGTGATCTGTGTGCCGGCACAAGGGAGCAATCCCAACGAGGGAGGAAAGCTAGAAACGTATGTACCTGCGTGCGCTGTGGGGGATGGCACAAGGCATGCGTTGCGGCATGGAGGCGTCCAATACTGAAAGCATGGTGGTACGTACATGGTGGATATGGACTAATACGGTAATTGAACCTGACTGTCGTTTTCTAATACGTTGCTTGAGAGCAGAGCATGTAAGCCAGGTGATGTGGTGGCGGCCAAGTGGCTGACCAAAATGGGAAGCCAGGTATGCTAGCGCTGTAGCGGTACAGCAGGCCCAGAGACACGAGACGATGCGGCGGCAATGGGCTACAAGATGAAAACGGGGCAGGTGGAAGCTTACTGTTTTACTGATGGCGCCAGCCCTGGCAGCGCACAGACCGCAACGGGGGCTTTACTACACATACACACAAACACAAACACAAACACACAATGAGAAAGCGTACTTGCGTCCGAACATATTGCGCGGGTCTACTTACTTTACGAATTTTGAAGCTGCACTTGGCGAAGCTGAAGTCCTGCAATCGCCACAGCCCACGGGAAAGGTGGGGATAAATTTGTGGTTCGCAAAATTCCCATAGCTCCAACATCCGGTGCTGCATGTCTCAGCACAACCCTGCAGCAGGGACTCTCTAGCCTGCGCAGCGGCTCCCACAGCCCCCCACGCTCAGCGTGAGAGCGTCTTGCATAGCTCGCCCAGACAAAGACGTTTTAAAGCCCCTCATCCGCTAAATCCACCAGCATCATCAACACTGATCAGCCGTTTCCGTCTGCCGACTACTGCCCGCTCTCCTCTTCCCACCCACCGATGATATGCGTGCCGTCAAGTACGGCAGCATCCGGACGCGTAGCCTCGCTGCGACCCGTGGGGTTGGTCCCGACGCTGGCGGCGCCATCGTCGCAGACGCCGCGCTAGTTTGCTGAGGCCCACCATTACCGTACGGCCATGCGCAACCGCCAGCGTAGCCAGCACCCACACCGCCGCCGAACCCGTTGCCCTGCACGCTCAGGCCTCCAGCGATGGTAGTCCCTCCACCGGTCCCGTTGCCACAGCCCGGCAGCATCGGCTGCTGCTGCTGCTGTTGTTGTTGTGGGAGCAACTGCGCTTCGCCATCGACGCCGCCGGTTGCATAGCGGGCGCTGGGAGACGCGTATATGGCCGCCGGTGCCGCCTTGCCCTGCGCTGCCAATGCCGCGGCCGAAGGCTCACACCTGCGCAGCCGAGGCGCACAAGCAAGTAGGACACGGCAGGGTAGGGCAGGGCAGGGCAGGGCAGGGCAGGGCAGGGCAGGGCAGGGCAGGGCAGGGCAGGGCAGGGCAGGGCAGGGCAGGGCAGGGCAGGGCAGGGCAGGGCAGGGCAGGGCAGGGCAGGGCAGGGCAGGGCAGGGCAGGGCAGGGCAGGGCAGGGCAGGGCAGGGCAGGGCAGGGCAGGGCAGGGCAGGGCAGGGCAGGGCAGGGCAGGGCAGGGCAGGGCAGGGCAGGGCAGGGCAGGGCAGGGCGTGGGTCAACAGGGGGGTACCGAGAGAGACACTTTGGAGCGCTCTTTTCCGCTCATTGCCGTCATAGCAATACACTACCCCCTCCCACAAGGCAAGCTGAACGGCACGTAAGGGACCGACGAAGGGTGTCCATGATGTAAACCTTGCAGAGCTCCAGGCAGAGAAACACACACACACACACATCTTATGGCCTACGAGCCGGAAGGTTCTAACTTGGACAGCCACGCCGCATACGCTGCTCACCCATAGAAAAACGTGTCCGACTTTGTGGAGTGCCCGTGTATATCAATGTAGAGCGCCAAGCGCCCTGCCGCTGCGAGCTGCTGTAAAACACGCTTCGAGTGGTAGACCGTTGGGTACAAGCAACGAAAAGGCCTGTCCCACACCCTGCACGTTCGCACACCAGGGACCAAGTCCAAATCACATGGCACATGCAAGTGACGTGCTGTTAAAAGAGTGCAGTACACGGCGATGCACACAAGAGTGTTGTGCAGAGCGCAAAATACCTCCGCCGGGACCATGTACTTTTGGGAGCTTAGCGCAGAGAACGTGTTGTGTCTCTCCGGATGGTGGACAGCGCGGGTGACCATCAAGGTAATGCGAGTGTGGTAGTGTCGTCGTGCAAGTCACTCTCTTGCTGCTCTCTTGTCTCGTTTACTCCGGTTCCAGTCTTGGCAGCCTCACAATCTCACGCCCCATTCACACCACACACATATATGCACACATGTGCACACCTATCATCCTCCCAAACTACCCATCAAGCTTCCGTCCTCCCACAGCCCGGTTGAGGTCTCCACCTGTTGAGGTCCACGCCGGCCAGGCTGCACCGGTAGTTGCCGTTCACGACCCCGTCAGGGTTCAGCATGGGGACAAGCTTGAAGACAAAAGAGTTGCGCAACGTAACCGCCGCGGGATCCGAAGAGCACAGAAACTCCAGTATGCCCTAGGGCGTCATAAAGAAAGCAAAGAGGAAGAGGGCGTTTGAAGTATCCTGGGGGGCATATCATCAAGGGATCTGCATCCGCCGACCGGTACTTTTCTGGAGTCATGGTATAACAGCGTTCGAGGAGGACAAGAGGATAAGAGGACGAGGAGGAGGTTGGCAGCGAGCCAGGAAGAGGTTGGATGCGACACAAGCAGGCACAGATAAGAGCAGAAATGGTTCTAAGGCAAAGATTTCGAAATCCCTAGCCCTAGCCAATCGGGGCCCATTGACCACTAGCACCCAGTGGCCAGCGAACAGTGCCCAGCGCCCCAGTTTTTCGTTGCTTCAAGTGGCAAACAGTCAAAGACCAGTCCGGGCCTGATAGAAGGATGGTGAATCAGGCCTGCTCAACCAGAATCGGTCCATCGGAGAGCGGAGCCCGGGGCACACATGGCTCTGCGAAACCCGTGCTGACGCACACACCCCCTCCGGGCACGAGAGGAACCCGCCACCCAATAGTCGTCAAGGACCACAGAGCCGCCCATGTGACCGCACCATTGCCGGCCAGTTTGTCAGATACATCATGATCCACTTAACTGCATAACACATCACGCGCATATGCTCTCACAGGCCAGTCTTTAAAAAAAACACAGAAAACAAAAAACGGGACGTAAAACAGGAAATATTGGCCTCCCTTAACAACGACGCCAAACCACACACACACACAGACGTACACACAGACGCACCTGCATAAGCCAGCTGGCACACGTCTCCCCGGGGTGTACCCGTGACGTGATGAAGATGCACTCGCGCTGTCGTACAGCCTCCAACGGCGAGCTCCAATCCGTGACTGTCAGAAGGTCCACTCGCAACCCCGTCAATGTGTAGCACAGCACGGAACGTACGAGGGGCGGTGGTACGGCCAGCGGCTGCGGCTGCAGCGACAGCTGCTGCTGCAGCTGCTGCGACAACGAGTGCTGCAGCTGCTGTGATTGCTGATGCTGTTGGCGCTGCTGCTGCTGCTGCTGCGAGTTTGCGGAGGCAGAGGCTGAGCTTGACTCCATGGCCAGACGGCGTTGGAGTCCGTCCAAGTAATCCTGCGGAATTAGAGTGAGGACGGAAAGCTGTAATGCGTGCGTGCGTGCGTGTGTGCGTGTGTGCGTGAGGATTTGTCATTTGCCAGGAAGGCGGGCCTTTAGGGGTCCGCACGTCAGCGAGGCGAACCCGGCAGTCAAGACTCCAAGCGCCGGCCCCTGCCAATAGACGCAATGCCGCGAGACAATTGCGGCGCTACACCTGTAACTGTTACATATTTTACGAAACAGTTACAGACCACAACAAAGGATGCGTTGCACAGAGGCTTTTCAGCTTGACATCTCGCTGTGTTGTGCCATACAAAGCGCTGGTTGTGCTATAGAAGGCATAAGGAGTGGTACCATAGCCATAACTAAAACAGCGGACCGAAACCTAAAGTTTGCAAGGTTTACACACACACACACACACACACACACACATAACGTGCATAAACTCCATGCACGGCCTGAGCCCGTCAGGTAGGTCTCGGAGACCATAATGACTCACCGAGGGCTTACTGCGAGCCCTTGCGCTGCCTGCGAGATGCAAACAACATGCCGCCTAATATGCCGTTTCCCAGGGCTGCTCGCTCAAGGTAGAAAAAGCTGTACAAGGTGCCTGCGGGGTGCGCACCTGCAAGTCGCTGTACGTGTATGGATAGCAGCTGGCGACGTAGTACGTTCCCGGGACGGGAAAATGAAGGGTAAAGCTCGCGCAGTACAGACCGGGGCCTATGGCGGTGGTGCTGAAGGCGGAGCCTCCGTCTCCATCGGCGCCGTCGGCGATAGCGTTCGCCTTGCTTTTAACCTTGGTCCTCTTCCCGGATGACTGCGTCGCTGCGGCGGCACTAGCGCCGGTAGCAGCGCCGTTGCCGGTGGCGCCGGGGCTTGCTGCCGCCGCAGCCGCGGCCGCTGCGGCAGCGGAAGGCTGCATCAGCGCGACACACATACATACACACACACACACATTTTAGGTAAGTGTGCAGGAAGGCTGCCATTACACTGTCGAATTGCCATTACACAGGAAGGCTGCCACTACACTGTCGAATTGCAGTCAAATTACGTTGAAGCTGCTCCAGGTGACCACAAAACTGTTTACCAGCAACGCAAAGCTGCAGATAACACCTCGAGACACACCACGTCGAAATAGTAAACCACTGGGAACTGCGGGCACCCAAGCGATCAAAGATCCAAACACCCCAAACTCCAGATTCATATCACACGAGTGACGGACCTTTTTGCCTTTTCGCGACGCAGCGCCCTCGCCCGCTACCGTCGGCCTCCCCCGGTACGGCGATGGATAGTAGCTGATATGGGTGCCGGCGCGGAGCCAGACCCCGGGGTCCGTCACCGGTGACGGCGCCGAGCCGGGTCGTGACCGCGGCGTCGTCATCGAGGGCTCGCCGTCTACGGTGGCAGGCCGCGCAAGGCACATTACCGGCCTCTTTCCCCCACTGAACAGCGACTCCTTCTTCCGTAGGTTCACAATGTTCATCTTGATACCTGGCCCCTGGCCCAACCCCGTCCCCGGTGATAACGTGATGTTATTGCTGCTGTTACTGCTATTGCTACCGCCGGCCGCAGCGGCGGCCGACTCTAACGAGGCCGGAAGTTCGGCTTGTTGTTGATAGAACTGGGCGGTGGCACCAGCGCCGCCGCCGCCACGGCAAGCCTGGCCTTGCTGAGGCCAGCCCGAGCCGCTGCACGCTCCCGGCGGCACTGTCACTGCAAAGTAAAACCACTGGCACAGGTTGCCGCCCTCCGAGCGGTCATTTAAATCGGGCGAGAGGAAAAGGTCGTACTCGCGTGGGCCCACCTACAGCACGGCAATCCGCAGCCGTGTCAGAGCGACGCAGTGGGGTACAGCATACCAGGATATGACACTGGAGGCAAGGCGATAGTCGGCGCTTCAATGCCTCTGCTGAATGAAATACTATAAATACAGGCTGCGGGTCAGGGCTACACGGTGACCGACTACACGTTTTGCGCTGGCCGTGCTGTAACCTTGTACCCCTGGGGTAGGCATCCAGTTGTTTCCATGGCCAACGGCCACGCGCTATACACAGGCCGCAATGTAATACTTCTTCCCTGAGTTCCCCGGAGATACCTGCGTCGCGCAGCGGAGGTTTCCGCTCTCAAAGTTGGAGTGGAATGACAGCGATGGAGGCGATGGCGACTGCGGTCGAGGGCCGCCGCCAATGCCGACGGTCGCTGAACTCAGCGGGCCAATAGCCACCGGCGCGGAGCGGCCACTGCTCCGCAACAACGCCTGCAGCCCGCCAGTGCCGCTGCCATCTCCACGGCCCCATGGGTCGGCATTGATGTTGGGGAGGTGGAAGGGATCCAACTCCGGCGAGGATGCCGTACGGGAGGCCAGGGATAACCCCTGCTGAACGCCGTTCGAGCCGCCATCGCCTGGCAGCAGTGTGCCGGAAACCGGGGAGCCAAAAAACTCACCACCAGCACCAGCACCACCACCATCGGAACATAATACCATTCCACTACAAAGGACGCAACACCGAAGCTAACGGAATTCTATATTGGTACCTTGGGCGATTCGGTTAACAAGACGCATGTAGCGTTCTACATGCTGCAGAAGTTGTGCATCCGCCCGTCCAGGGCTCGGCGCCAGGCAGGAAGGCTAACCCCTGTGCGCCCATTGAATCGCCGCACCCCAAAACAACGTAAGGAGAAGCCCGAGCCGACCTCCCCTCTTCCCTACCTCGTCCGGCTAGAGCGCATGCCCCTCCCGGCCCTGGCCCTGCGCCTCTAGTAGCCGTCCTGCCCTTCTCGGATAGCGTATCCCCGCAACCTTCGCAGTACAGAGGCAGCTCAGTGACGCGGCCAAACCCTACCTGCATCCCCAGGCGCAACGCGGGCCAGCTCAGGAAAGGTCCCCGATGTGGGGCGTCCGTCGGACCCTCGGCCTGCCGCCGCCGCTTCAGGCAGCCACGTGACTTGATCTGGGGGTGGGGAGTGGACACGGCGGATTGGACCGGACAGGACCGGAACACAGCGAAGCGCAATACGAAAAGCAAATCCCCTCCACCATCCCATGTCATGCCGTGTCATGGTGTCAGATTATGTCCTCTAGCAGAAGCGGCTGCTGCCGCTTACCACCTACCCAAGGGGGCTGCTATCTTCCGACCTGGGCTGTATCCCATGCCATCCCATGAGATGGGATGGGGAAATCCGAATCCCAATGTATATTCGTTTGCCTAGTGCATTACTCCCAACACCTAAAGGACTGAAAGCCCCCACGGGGTCCTCCTGTGGCGCCTTACCCGTGGGTTGCAGGGCCGACCGCAGCGTCGGCTGCAGCGGTTGGGACTCCCTAACGCCAAACGGCGGCATCGCTGAGCCGCCGAGCGGCGGCGGGCCGCTGCTGGCGCTTATGTTCATGTAGACCACTCGGTTGACAAGGCCGCGTGGGTTAGCGATGCGTTGAAGGTCGTGAAGCTGTACGTGGGGGAGACCGGGACGGAGTTAACCGGCTGGGTTGAGACCCTCTTAACTTTCTAAGGTTTGGGCTCGAGTGACGAGCAGATGCGCGCGTAGGAGCTAAGGCGAAGAGCCGATGTGCAAGTGTGAGAAGCAGGTAGGGGGGCCGGGTTGGGGGGCAGGTAGGACGGGTGTAGATGCAGAACCTCCCTCAAACGCCCCCCCTAAAAATGTGCACAACATCCCACCACGGCCCCATATCCTCAACAATGCCTTCCTTCCGCAACACCGCCAACATCCGCACCCCAGAACCACAACCCCATTACTGCTACCGGTACTGCTACTACTAGTCCACCGCACGCAGCAGCAGCAGCAGCGGCAGCAGCCCCTCTGGTTAGGCGCCCTGCCGCTGCCCTGCCTCAGCAGCCGTTGAACCCTTGCACCCACCATCATCTCACAGTCCAAGCTGGTTCCATAGCCGTGAAAGGGCTCCGGTGTTTGTCCCAGCCCCAGACCCGGCCCAGTCCCCGGTCCCACGTCCACTTGGGCTCCGCCGCCCCCGCCACCGCCGCCAGCACCGCCCATGCCGTTCATAGCCGCTATTGAACGGCAGGTCTGACGGGCGGAGGGTGGGCGTGCCGGCAGGGAGCCTGTGGGCCGCACCTGTAACACCGGGGAGCCAGAAAGCGGAAGGAGTGCATATAGCAATAGGATTAGTATTAGTTTTGAGGTAAATGTGATTCGGTCAGTCTGCCGCCTGGTGTGTGCGCTGTAGTTGGTTTCGGTTGATGTTCGGAGCCATCTCCCGTACTGATCTGATCGACTGTCGAACTGGAATTAAGAGACAATGAATTTGCTAGTCTTGTTGGTCTGGTATTCTTGTAGAATAGTGGTTTGTGGCTGAGCTGAGCCGTTAGTTGCTTTTGTAACTCTCTGGCAATCACCATTGCATCCGATCCATTTCGCCTTCAATAAATAGCAGTAGCAATACCGATGGCAAACATGCATACAGGATAGCCAGCGAGGAATACACGCTACTTAGAAACACGCCAAGAGAACGCGCGATACGCACGCTCATAACAGGGGGATTACGCGACGCCATCAATCGTGGTAACCCCGCCAGCCCGTCCGCCGCTGGACTGCCCTCCACTGCTCAATGTGCGTGCGTCCAAAACGTTCCTGCTTAGCCCGTTTCCACGACCATTTTTCACCAGGGAAAAAGCCAGCTTACCGTAAAAGATCCCTGCGCCAGCTGGCTCGACCATCCGGGCCCTACACCGTTGCCCGGGGTTTGCTGCTGCAACTGGTTCGCCTGCGGCAGCGGCAGCTGCTGCCAGGGGTACTCCTCCGGGAACAGCTCCTGATGCCGCTGGGAATCCGTCTCTGCCGCTGCATGGCCAGGCGAGGACAAGGAGGACAAGAGAAAACCGGCGCGGTGTGGCCTCAGGGAACATGACACCGAGGCATTGCAAATAACGCCTGCCTCCGTGCAGACATGGTCAACGCTGACCCCAGTAAAATGGGTCAGATAATGCAGCTCCCAGCTCGTTTCCCCGTAGAGAAAAAAAAGAGAAATATGGCGCAGATCCCGGCCGAGGGCTGCTACTCGGCTGACAAGAATGCACTTATACCTCACAGACGGGCTGAAACGATGTACTTGCCTGCGCATAGATTTGCCATACTGTAGGCACGGCCTATATTTACGGGTAGCACAACGTATGCGCACGCGCGCGCGCGTGTGTCGTGTGTGTGTGTATAATCTGAGCTACGGCTTGGAACTGCTGTGATATGTGTTGTATGGTCAAGGTTGCGTAAATCCCGAACAATTGCCAATCTGCTGCCCGATTCGAGCAGTGAGGTGCTCAAGGGCTCCATGCCAAAAGCCACTTCCAAAAGCCATTCAAGTGCAGTGATGTGCACACAGATAGCGGCTACTTATCGACGATTACTGCTTATGTTCGACTACTAAAGCTGCGAGCTCTGATGTACACCCCTCCACCCGCGGCGCGCAGGGTAGGCACTGGGCTTGCCTACACTGGGCTTGCAGTCCGCGTATGCGGTGCGAACGGCTAACAGAGCCCGACCTACTGTCCAGGGTTCACGTCTCTCTCTCTCCCGCGCGCCGCGCCAAACCCAACCCTCATGCGCTAGCCGCGCACCTGACGCAATGTTCAAGTGCGGTGCATCCTTGGACGGCAGCGGCACAAGCGGTTCCAGAGGGGGCAGAGGCGTCAGCAAATGCGGGCAAAGCAGCCACAGCGTCCGGCTCACTCTCTGAGGGCAAGAAAGCGAGATCAGGAAAGGTAGGGGTCGTGGAAGAGGGTCATGGCAATGTAATGCGGGGTAGGGGAGAAAGGACCAGACCAGACAAGGCCTGATCTGACCTGACAAAACACCGGAATGCGCGTCAGCGAAGATCGGGGCGCTGTGACAGCGGCATCCTGCCGCGGTAACTACCACGCCATGGTGTTAATTAGGCGGCACCAGGCACTTTGGCTAAAAGAGAAGTCAACAACAATGATAAGAGTAATATAACAACATAAGAGTAATATACATATTTTTCCTTTGCTGCGACAGCCGTGCAGACCGCAAACGCTGTTTCGCGGCCAGGGCGCTCTGCCCATGCAGACCATGGGACGAGACGCGCGCGCGACAGGTAACACGAAATCCGAAAGCTTCCCCAGGCCACCTGGGTAGCTGCACGGGGGCAGCGGCAGCAGGGCTACTAGCAAACGGCTCCATGCGGTGCACGGGCCTCACCTACGCTCAGCGCGAACCTGCCACGCATGTGCCACACATACACGCACACATCCACACTGACCTTAAGAAGCTTGCGTTGCTCAGGAATGCGCGCCAGCACGCGTGCCACCCCCAGCAGCAGCCGCACCCCCTCGCCCGTGCACGTCAGGACGCCAGGAGCTCCGCGGGCGGTAGACGCAGGACCGCTGCCGGGGGCCCCGCCGCCAAACGTGGTGTTGCCAGACTGCAGGTACTCGTGCTTGGCGAGGTTCTTGAGCAGCTTCAGCACCCAGCCCTGAACACGGCACACCCACACGTCCATCCATTTGACATCCATCAAACCCACGTGTCCATCCATCCATCCACCCACCCACCCATCCATCCATTAGACAGCGCTCTACAGTCCAGTGACGCGACTTACTTTCCGACCCACCGTGGCGATTCTAGCGGCGTGCATAATGGTGTACGTATATACACGTACAAAAACGTGAATAAAGCGTCTGAGGTGCTCATCAGACCAGCGCAGGGAGGACACATGCCTTGACCCTGGCACTGGCCCTAGGATGTCATGCCGTGGCGCAAGGAAAACATGCCCCAATGCAACCATCCGCCAATCCCCTGCTGTGCTGGCCCGCGCAGAGGCCGCTCCTGGCCCTTTAGCTACTCTATGGATAACCTCCTCATTGGCGGGTATTACCACCTTCTCTACCCGTCGCCTCTCCACGAGTCAAATGACCCCTGGCGATGCACCTTTCCAACCTCATAAAATCACCAAGCCACCCAAGCCACTCACAAAGACAGGCCAATTCCCCAGGTACAACACGAGCATCTCCTGCATCACGGCTAACAGGTTCTCGCACTCCAGTTGTGAGGCGCCCTGCGGTAGCGTATAGAGGGGTTGTTACGGAATGGAGGAGGATGGAACATGTGAATGATAGAAGCGAAAATACAACTGCCGATGAGTCCAGTCGGCAGTGGGCGGGGTGGTCGTGGCAGCTGGGGTTGCTGGCTATTTTTTCAAATATATTGAGTGAACAGTCCAAGTCCTGGGCCCCAGACTCAGGAAGGGCCCCAGGAGGGGCGCCATAGGCCCCAAAACCCCACCCGCAGCACCAAGAACAACAACCTGCGAGGCAGACTGACTGACAGATAGAAAGAAGGGGACAGCAAAGGAGCAAGCGCCAACTCCTCCCAAACGGTACAAATCCACTACAAACCTTTCCACAGCTTCCCGCCAAATAGCCCCAGGCTGAGGGCTGCCAACCCCCAGCTACCCAACCTAGCTAAAAACCATTTTTCGGCCACCACCCTCCTGGCCGCCCGACCTTTCTGGGCGCTTCTGCCCACTCCTACACCATCCCGTGTAAGGAGCCAAGACCTCTGGAATGTCCGCTCAATGTGTCCCAACTAAATCCACTCGCCCACGAGCCCCCACACGAGCCGGTGGTGCCGGGGATGGCACCTGGCAAACCAGCCCCTGAGGTTGCGGTTCTGCAAATGAACCCCAACGAGGCTCCACAGCGAAGCATCCCCCACCAGATCTCCACAGCGATCCCCCGCAAAGCGTCGCAGAGCGTCCCACAGAAAGTGTCCCAGAGCCCCCGGCCTCCACAGAAAATGACCCTATACCCCCAAAAGACCTCCGTGCTCGTGACCCACATGCCGCACGGCCAGAGAGAGCTACCTAGCCTTGATGCGGCCCCAGGTCCTACCTTGGGTGCCCGGGCGATGTGGGCCAGGGCCTCGCAAATGGGTCCAGCAATGGCGGAATCCTTCACGTGCAGAGCACAGGCGTTGAGCAGCAGCTGGCCCAGACCCTGAACGTCAAAAAGGTGAACGCGGCGGAACTGGGTTTCGCTTATAGGGATTGCTTCACAGGAATTCCGATGATGTTGGTGGAGGAGGAGGTTAGCGACCTCCAATTGTGCGTCCTGGATTCTGATGGTGTCTCTTGGCGGGAGGATAGCACCACATACGAACAACCTAGCTGTGGCTGGAACACCCACATGCAAAGAGAGAGCTCAGTGTCCTGCTAAGGCTCCTCCTTTCTTTCTTTCTCTTTTGCGGTGCAAAGAGCGGTGGAGAAAAGGGCTGTGCGCGTGCAGCGTGGGATGGATAGGTTGCCGCCTAAAATCCTCAGCTGTATAACACTGCTGCTGCCGCAGTTACCACGCCGCAGGCCCTGCACTGCGCTTGCACCGTGCTCTGCTTTTGCATAGCGGCCACTGTCACCACGTGCTTAACCGCACGTGGTGCATCGCAGGTTCCCTTGCTCTTCTGACGTGCATAGGGAACACTAGGCGCCGACGCTCGGGGTCATCAGCTGACGGGAGCAGCTACAGGACCCCGCTCAGGTCAGTTATACTGTAGCGTGTCTCCGGGGCGTCCTGGATCGAAAGTTCAAAAAAAGGGACGCAATCCTTTACAGACCCCGGGTTTTATATGCCGTATCTCCGTGTACCTTCTCCTTAGCCAGAGCCTGCTGTGTGACGGTGCTGGTACCGGCTGTCACCGCCAGGATCCGGGCGCAAGGACCCGCCACGGCAGGTAGAGTCAAAGCGGCCTTCAAATGCTTGATGACCTGCTTGAGCCCGCCCTGTTAGGTGAAGATTGGTGAATTCCGGACGCAGCGTAAGGGGAGGTAAGGCGGGAAGGAAAAGGGGAGGTGTGTACGGTGTGGGGGTGTACGCTTGAGACTCGGCTTGTGGTGCGGAGTGCAAGTAGGTAGAAGAAGCGCTGGAAAACCATGTACTTGGTGTGTACCTGCTCCTGGACCGGTTGCCGTCGTGACCCGACCAAAGCACGGGATCGTGGCGGAACTGTTAGTGGATGCCGGTCTGCGAGCCTGAAGCAGCGTCCGATCACAATCCCTGGCACTTCCCCCCAATGTCCCTTCGGATGGACTGTATACCTCGAGGCGCAGGACTGTGCCTGCCTGCGGGCTGAGTGCAATTCCATCTTCAAGGACTTTGATGGCAACGCTAACCTGCGCAGAAGTGACGCCGTTGTTGTCGATGGAACATACGACAACATCCCCAGGCAGCTAGCTATGGCTTACCACATCCTGCACAGAACAAGCAGCTAGGAATCCCAGGACCTCTTGCACCACAGCTACAATGGTCGCGTCGCCTTTGCCTGCAATCAAACGGGTAGGTCGCTAGAAAGTGCCGGCTCGTGTCCTCCAGCAAATTGTGACTTACCCGGTTTCAGGCCTCTGATGGTATCTTGTAAGGACTTAAGCCTTGCAAACACAACATCATTCTCAGAACCCTGCGCGTGCACATTCGAATCGTAACCTTTTGGACAACATATAAGCCGGAGTTAACTTCACCTCCTTCCTTACACTCATTATTCCTGAGGATACAAGACGGCCACCGCTGCGACTTAACTATGCCGTTATGGCAGGCGGTGAGTGACCAAGATAAACCCCGGGACCCGACTCAAAGTCAGCCCAATACATAATATTAGAACACGTCTGTCTACGGCATACAATTGTTGATGAAGAGTTATTTCGGCCTGAACATTAAAATTATCGGATAGCAAGGAGTAAGCTAAAGGCTAGAACAATGGACTCAATTAAAACAGCGTTCAGTTATATGATGGAGCCGTTCTATTACCAAAAAGAACAAAATGTACTTGTGTAACCTGACAAAGCGGCAGGCTGTAATAGAGTTGGTTGATTCCCAACTGCTTTGATGGAGGCAACTTGCAAGTTCAGTGCATTATCTGCTGTAGCTTCTTTCCCTCAGGAATTTTTTGCTTCTTGGAGAACTGCGGAAGAACTTTTTGCTTTCGGTCGCTTGGGCTGGAACCCTTCGGCCCTAGCCACCTGGGCCCTGTTTCGGAACGTCGTGCGTGCTTGTCGCTGTAGCCAATCCTGATACAAACCAACTGCTGCGAGAATCCGAGTGCAGTGTCTGCCTTAAGCTGACTTCACTCACGCGCTCACTTGCCAACAGGTGGAATTGTGGTATGCCAAAGACACATCTGGGTTTGAGGAAGGTGCAGAAAAGATTCAAATGGATAGCGAAAGGTATAATTGTATTGGCTGATGGCCATGTGGTTGGTCAACGGTTAACAAGGGAATGAAGCAGTGCACCTCCCGCAATTTTCCGGACAGAGACACAAGGACAGTCAATTTCTTTCAAATGTCCCCAGCTCCCTCAGGGCTCCTGAGCTCAATCCTTCCCTTACCAGACCTCCCCCTCGGCCACGTAAATGGACGTTTCCAGGCATCACCGACCGTTGTTCTGCCGCTTCCTCTGTGCATGTGTGTGTCTCGACGATCTGCGTGCGCGGCCGCTACTGCCTTTCGAGTACACCTCTCGTCCCACTGCATCCGGTGCGACATGCCTCAACGCCTCATCACGTGCCATCAGGACGGATGTATCAGGCTCTCTGACGCTGCGGATCACGCCCAGCAGGCCTTATGCGCCATGGCGCAGGCGTAGGTTGGGGTCGTAGTGGCCACATGTCACACAAAACGTCTGGAAGCGGTCCGACATCTGATACCTGCGCAATAAAAAACCAAACCGAGCACAAGTTTTACTTTAGGCAGGGAGATTGAGGACGCGAGAAAATGAAGGACCAAGGGAAGCCATAAGGCGATACGAAAGGAAGACATATGTAATGTAATGTAATGTTACAGAGTGGGAGGCTTCTGGGCCGCTTTATCACATATCACGAAAGGAAGACATACATACCCCATTGCATAGAGCAGTCCTAGGAACAGCAACAACAACAATAGACAGCAGCTTGTGAGTGTGCTCATGTGCTCGTGGGACTGTACGACCGAAAGCTGCAAGAACTTCGTCGACAGTGGCATTAGCAGCATTGGCAGCATTAGCAGCCAGAGGAAAAGCCCCCGAAGAAACAGCATTACTCGAAACACAGCTGCCGATAGTGCTGATATGACCTGTAGCGGCATATGTGGCTATCAGCAAGCAGGCATATGGGGAGAAGTTAGGTGAGTTCGGCATCCATGAGTGCCCGTCCCTCACTCACTCACCCGCACTTCGGACATGGGTCGCTGCCATGTCGAGGCTTGCCCGGGACAACTCCATTTGGGAACGTTTCCCTGCAGGGGAAGGGGGAGGGGGCAGTCAGCACAGCAAGACGTCGACCATACGCACGATTTACGCAAGGAAAGGGTGTATTACATTTGGTGACTGGCTGGCTGAGAGCCTGACTCAGCCTGGCTTAAAGCCTGACCTAGGTGGTCCCAAACCGCCTCTATCACCCCCATCTTCAGCATTCAGACCCCACGACCGACCTGAAAATCCGGTAGTAGTGCAGATGCTCCTTGTCGCGAACCTCGACCTTGTGGTGCTCCATGACGTAAGTCCTCTCAGACGCGAACTGCTCGTCGGAGATGAGATGGTCGAAATACCCTGGCTTGGAGAGCGCCGTGGTACCGCAACCCACCTGCGCACGTACGTGCGCCCCCCCCCATACGGCTCACTTTGTACAGCGTTCCCATAATCTAGTTTTGTCTTGAGAAGCACACACACACATACACACACACACACACACAAGGGCATAATACATTCAATACGTCCACGGCTTCTTCAGGGTGGCCACGGGCCGGTCACACCGCTGCTGCACAGTGAGAGGTAGAAGTACCTCATCGCCGCTACGCCGGCGGAGGGTGGCCGCCGGAGTATCTGGAAGCGCAGCGAGTGTGCCGTGACTCTTCGGGTCGGTTGCAATGTTTCCAAATATGAGGTGTCGTTACTCGCATGGGCCAGTTTGTGACATTCGCTGCCTTCCTGCAATGACCCACGCGTCGGTCATCCCAGCCTCATCCTGACATGTGTGTGCCCCCGACACACCACCCGTGTGCCCCTATGACGCACCTCGATGGGGTCCTTGCGTCGCATCGCCGCGGTAACGTTTGGGAACATCTCCCGTAGTGGCATTTTGCCGAGGGTTGAGCCGTCGGGCTGAGCCTGCGGGAATATACGCGGTGAGGCATGCACTCATAAAAAACCTCTCTTGCCCTCTATCTCCCTCAACTAATCCTTTTCCTTTCTTTTCATCATAGCTTCCGAAGGTGTGGGTTCGGGTCCCACAGCTGGTCTCCCCCCCGGGGTGAAATAGATCGGGGTGTCGAGGGCTGGAGCTGGCTATCTGCGTCAAGTCGACTAAGAGGACGTTCCCAAGAGAGCTGAGAGCTTGGGCAGGTCCATAGGGACCCTGAGAAGTGATGGGGAGGATGGAGTCCTCCTGCGCTAGGATGTAGTTCAGTGGTACTAGCCAGCCAGGGTGCGGCTTCGCTGGTGGCTTTCAAGCGGTGAAAGAGACTATGGGGTATGGCCTGCTTGCGTTTGGTGAATGGGACTATGGATGAGCTGCTAAGTGTGGAGCTACCAGTGCGGTCGAATGGTGGTGGTGGGGGGTAACTGAGTCCTCCTGCGCTAGGACTGGAGTGGGGCATAGCTTAGCAGCCCTGTGAGGAGAAGGGGAGGACTGTGGCCTCAGGCGGGCTGTGTGGATGTGAGCGGACAACATGGCTGAACACGTGGATGCTCCTCTGCAACTGGAGCAGAGCGCTTCGGCGGTCTCCCCGGTGGCTACCCCGGTTAGGTGCCCCGGTCGGTGTCATGCCAGGCAGATAGTGTTACCTATCTGTGTGTGCGTCTGTGTGATAGGTAACACACACAGACATACACACAGACACGCACACCGCTTCTGTCCCTGCAACCTACGAGCTCCAAGCACACCTATACCTAACGCAGCGGGACAACATCAGCCCCAGTCCCAGAGGGCCTGAAGTACCCCTACTTGACGATGTCAGAGCGCTCATGGCTGGGGCGGCTACCTCCCGATGTGGCCCAGACAGGCCACATTAGGGGACGTGCACAAACACACACACACACACACACACACGCACGCACGCATGTTCACCCCTCTCTCCCTCGTGGCTTTGGTCCCTTGGCAGCCTTTCCTTTTCAGGCCATGATCAGCGCATTTCGCCAGCATTAGGCCCAATCAGATGATGTAAGTAAACGCAAACTGCACGCGGAGTGATGAGGTGATGTAATCAATGGATTCAGGGCCGGGGAATATACTCGTTATTGGCCATCACCACCGTCACCGTCAGCACCACTCCAATCTGAAACTGATCGATCGCATTTTCATTTGTCCTTGGCAAGCCCACCCACCCACCCACCATCGCGCACCGGTCTACCCAAATCCCAACCGACCGAATCCAAACCTGCACGCAATCAGCCTTGCCCAGCCGCAGCGCTGCGGCCTTGAACCCCGGCCGCGTGTAAGGTGACGCTACGAATACGCCGTGGTGTGGTCCCAGCCGTGAGCTGCCGAACTCCATGACGCGTGCCATGTGGGCCCGATGTGCCGCCCAGGCAGCAGGCTCCAGGCGGTGCGTGAAGCTGTAACCGCCCAACAGCTCGTCGGCGCCGTCACCGGTGGCAGCGCAGCGGAAGCCCCTGGCGGCTGCCTCATGAAGCGCGCAGGAAACTGTTGCAGATGGACGAAATGAGTCGCGACCCATGGGTCAGGGATAGTCCATGCGTCAGTGAGCTGAAGTAACGAAGTAACCGGGTAACGAGCCGGTAAACGAACATGCAACCATGTTTTGATCGGTAAGGAGGGGAGTTGCGACTCACGGAGCCGGCGGAATGTTGACCCATACGGATAGGCGGTCGGGGACATGAGCGTGGGAATGTTGTAGTGTGACGACGGCATTGAGCGCTACTTAAGCGGCCGCGTCATGGCCCAACGGATTGACTCACTGGCTACGTCGTTACGCAGAGACATCGGGTCGAAGCTCTGAAGGGTACGTACGACGGCCGGCAAGTGGCGGTGAAGCAGGTCATCTAGGGAGATGCGTACGACAATGTGATCCAGGCCGGCGGCGGCTGCCGACGCAGTAGCGTACGGCAGGTCGGTGGCATCTGCACGACAGGTACGGAAAAATACCGGTGGACATGGCAAAGTTGGGACGTATTGCCGAGGGGGAAAAGTGATAAGATGATGGTAATGCGCCAAAATGGCCGTACATCGATCCCGGTTCTTGGCCGTATGGCTGCGCTCTTGCGCAGTCTTTCAATCCCTTCCCTAGCACGAGACATTTTCACCCGGATTGTTGGCCCTGAAGTCTTGCACGAAGACATTCCCCCGGATTCTTTTCCTTTTAAACGCAGGACGCAACGTCTGTCACACATTTCTCCCATTCTGTCCGATAGCTGCCTAAGGGCGTCATCTATGCATGCGAACGTAGGAAAGGCTCCATCCTCAAACAATAGTTAATGTGGATACTTCCCGACGATATGGATGACAGGCATGCAGAAAGGCGGATGCGAAAACAGGTGAACTTGCACCACGACTTCGTCAATCGCCATTCCAGTACTGCACCTACTGTACTGCTCTCACCATCCGAGCAAACGACAGTCAGGGCAGCCCTTAGGCCCAATTGCGCACTTCCGATTTCTGCAACAATCGCACTGTCAAGACCTCCGCTTAACAGGATGCAGGCAGCGCTGGTGTCCCAGCTGCGATTCTGTGAGATGTCGGCGATAGCACAGTTGAATGCCTTGCGCAACGCTAAACGTTTCCACTTTTTTGGTTTAAGTGTCCTTGCAATTACAAATACGCCGCCGACAGCAGATGCCAAAGCGATTGCAACTAAGGGCCCTGCGCCAGTGCACTTGGAGCACAGCTTCCTAAGTGTACTTCTAATCATTCCAGCTGTTGAAGATATGGTCTCTGCGTAGAAATAATGCGCCGCTTGAGGAAAAGAAATGAAACAACGAGTACGGTAAATTTGAATGACCAGTCTGGATGACGAGCTTACGTAATGTGTCTACCTAAAGTGAACAAATCTCGCAAGAGCTGTTTCATAATTCAGTTTCATAATGAGCTGAGCAAACTCGTACAAGAGCTGCAATGCTGCAAATCGTAAGGCATGGAAGGAACCTTGCAATTCTGCGTTCTGGCGGCAGCGGCAGATGCATTCGCATCTCCGTAACTCAGTGCCGTGCTTGTGAAAAACATCCCGTAAGACAGACATGATGTCACGACACGCGCTCCCGCGATGCACTTGTGAGCGGCTGAAATGTTGAACTTGTTCCTGCGACCCATGGGTCCGTCGGTCCGTCGATCGATCGATCGATCGGTGGGTGGGTATAGGTCAGTGAGCTAGGGCTACGTTACGTGAAGGCACGTGCGCACGCTCTGCATTGCTTCATCTGGGTGTATCTCGCGCATACGGTAACAACGGTTTCGATTCGAGGTAGGTAGGTAGGTAGGTAGGTAGGTAGGTAGGTAGGTAGGTAGGTAGGTAGGTAGGTAGGTGAGGTGGCGATCCTTACGCGGCTTCCCTAATGGCACATTTTGGTAATCTTTCATTTATTGCTGACCGCGCGGGCACATGCGATTGTTCTTGAGCACGCGAATATGGCCCAAGGGGCCCCCCACCCCTTGGGGGCCTCCAGCCCCGGAGCATGCTTTGCGCCGCACATGAATCGGGAGCACGCTTTGAGGAAGCCAAGTTTGCGCCTCTCTTGTATCGCTGTCATCCTGGCTGGGTTGGATGAAAGGGCAGCATGGGAAACCAGGGGGCGGGTGCGACGCAGGCGGAGGTCAGAAGGGGAGAGAGGTTTCCGCCCTTGGGAAAATGCCTGGTGGGGCCCGTCGGATATAGACCTGCGAAATAGGGGCCATAGGATTCTTCGCTGTGTAAGCCGGCCAGCCAGTAGTTGTGGAAAGGAGGGCCTGTATGCTCCCCGCAAACAACTGAACGAGGGAGCGGCTGCTGGGGTCGCTGTTGCCGTCGCTGTAGCCGCAACGCCGTCGATGTTTTTGCTGGTGCAGCTGCTACTACAGGCGCACACCCTGCTGTGAGCACTGGAAAGGCGTTCATCCTGGTCGAGTCCTTAACAGCTACCGCAATTACCTTGAACCGTAAAAGACTTCGCTCCGTTATCATAAATTCATTAGCGTAAGAATTATTTACAGTAAGGTCACGACTACGACCAAAATAATCGGTATCTTTGCAGGTGAGTTTTGCTAGATCCAAACGCCCCCCTAGTCTTCGCCGGAAGTACCTGCAGCGGACAGCTCGCCCTTGATACTACGAGGCTACTACTGTCCATGTGCCTGCCTGCCGCCTGACATGGGCTCAGGCAACGAACGACCAGCGCAGCCTTTCGTATTGCTAATAGAAGAGCTACGCGCGGACATAAAGGCTCTGGAGCAACTTTTCGCCAACCAGAACCTCTGGCTGTTGGAGCAACCAAAGGCTATATTACGATTGGACAAACCTGATGCAACAGATACAACCGACAAGCAGTAAGAGCTGAATCAAAGAATAATAAAAGACACGAGTAAATGAACTACGGAGAATACGGCTTCAAGCAGCAGGTTGGAAGCCCTCGCATAATATGCAAATATATAAATATCTCCAAATACATATCCGACCCTAAAAAGTTGAAACCTTGATACCAATGGGCCTAATAATATACATCCAACTCCTTGTCCAATCCGTACGAACTAAGCCAATATTCATCAAATCCTGTCGATTAGTTGTTGCTCCATAGGTAAATGCCATTTTCTGTTACAAAGAATGAAAGAGAGAAATGGACTGAGAGGCCCGAAGAAGACGGGCCTAACGAACGGAGAAAGAGACACCGCAACTGAACTAACGCGAGGCTGCGCCAGAAACGGGCGGGCGGGCGGGCGCGCGCTGAACAACAAAAACAAGATAAGCTAACCAGCTTAATGCGCGCAATAAATGACGGCCCTGAGGACACGGGCCGTTGCGAAACAGTTAGTCTAACAGTTACGCATTGGGCCTTACGCCCAACTAACCCAGCTTACTTACGCAAGCTCGCATTAGTTGTTGCTCCATAGGTAAATGCCAAAGGAGAAGATACCCCCTCTAGCGGAAATAACAAACAAACTGAGCACCAAAACAGCGCAACGCGACGGGCCGCTAGAGGGACAAAGGACGCGAGAGCTGCCAGACAGGCACACACAGCGACACGAAATAAAGCTCCCCAAGCAAAACGCCTCAACGACCTCCAAACGATACTCCAGCAGCAAGGACGGCGGACACGCCATCTCTACACAGGCAAAAGAGCAAACAAACAGAACGCTGCCAAAACCACAAGGACGAGGTCAAACCAGCGCTCTCCAACCGCGCACAGACTGACCCACCGGCGCGACGGATCCCTCAACAAACGCTGACGGA